TAGATACAAACTCAATGTTAACCGCACCAAACTTGATTGCAGGAAATATGACTTCAGCAATAGAATGGTCAATGTCTGGAATACTCTACCCGACTCTGTAGTTTCTTCCCCAAACCCCAAAAACTTTAACCTTAGACTGCCTACTATTGACTTCACCCCTTTCCTAAGAGGCCTGTAGGGGGCGTGCATAAGCGCACCAACGTGCCTACCGTCCCTGTCCTATTGTTTCTCTTATTCTTCTTTTATTTTTTCTTATATGTACCCATTTCATGTATTCACAACTATGTATACACTTATACTTATCTTGTAAACAATTGGCAAATCAAATAAATAAATAAATAAATAAATTAATGTTGGCATTCAGATCTTAATATATATCCCAGAAATTATTTCAGAGATGGCAAAATTAATTAGGGAAATAAGAAAAAAATTGAAGGAAAAGACTTTTGAAACAATCTTAGTGCAAAATTGTAACAACTGTGTCAATACTAAAAGATTGGAGATACTTTAGCTTTCTAACCCAGCAGGTTTCATGACAGACCAGACAACCGATGCCTCCTTGAGTCATAATGTCAGAGATATCTCCTTACCTCAACAGAGAAATTGAATGATCAAGGGTGGGGGAAAAAGCAGAGGGAGCAGGAGTGATTTCCCAGTTGATTTTCCTTGAGAAAATCTGGCAAACAGAATCAGAAACCCATTCCCAGCAGGCAGGCTAATGCTGCTGATTGAGGGAGGGAGGGACTGCAAGACTGTTTGGGAAAAGATCACAGAACTTTGAAATTAAAGATCACGTGACTAGCAGCAGCCAGGACTTTCACAAATTTCATTCCTTTGAAAATTGTGGGTCCAGATTTTGGAGACATTCTGTAAGTTAGCCTATTTGAGATGGCTTGGTTCAAAACTCCACCTAGAATTAATGTGTGGCAAGATGACCACCTAATACATTTTACAAATAACTAAAATAAACATTAGTGCCTATGATTGATGCCCAGGTTATGACAACAAGACTTTTTATGGTATATAGTTAATAGCTGTAAACAAGATGTACTCAATAGTCTTGCATAATAAAAGTTTATAAGCCATGGTGGGCACTGGTTTGAATGCAGTATTGCAGGCTAATTCTGCTGAATGCTGAGGTTTGATCCTCACCTGAGTCAAGATTGACTCAGCCTTCCATCCTTCCGAGGTGGGTAAAATGAGGATCCAGATTGTTGGGGGCAATATGCTGACTCTGTAAACCGCTTAGAGAGGGTTGTAAAACACTGTGAAGTGGTACATAAGTCTAAGTGCTGTTGGTATTTACTCAATTAATGGAATACTTGGGTGAGTTAGGGAGTATCAGCATATCTGAAGGTCTTAACATCTGTTTGTTTCCAAATAAGAGAATGTATGAGAAGGAATTGCAGCAAAGGACAAAATGGAGTAAGGAAAAATGATTCAATATTAAACGCGTTTGCAGCACATTATGTATGTTTGTTCAAAATACTTGCTGTATAATATTACTTTAACACAGAGAGAGAGAGAGAGAGAGAGAGAAAGAGACACAGAGAGGAGTATACAAGAAAGATAAATAAGGAAAGAAAATGAAGGAAGGAATTCCCCTTTGATACTTCTTATTTCACCTCCTTTCCCTATCATGGATTCAACAGATGCAGTTTGTTTGCCTTTTCCTGAATTAGGCATAACTAACATGTGGATACTGTAGCCAAAATGAATGTTTAGAAACATCTGGCATGTATTGCTGTTGTGATTAATTCATTAATTTTGGACTCAACCTTGTTTATCTAAACAGAAATATTTATAAATCTTCTGCACATGTTATCCATTTCCTGTTACACAAAATCACTGACTTGTACACTAAGCAATGTGCTGAGAGTTCAAATGCTTAATATCCAGGAAAAAAATTGCATTTTGCCCTAAACCCTTTAGAGGATGACCAGATTTAGCAAAAAGAATTTGACAAGAATAATCTCCTGATCTGGTTTCCAGGTATTAGACAATTGTCTAATTATTGTTAGACAAAATGTCTGATACAGGCAATATCAGAATTTTGATTTTTTTAAATTGAAAGGGATGATTGGCTGCAAGATAAAAAAGCATTTGTAAAAATATTTTTAAAATCAAATTTAAAATGTCAGTATAAACATAGCAAACGGTTTTTCTTACTGTACTTCTATAGTTTTCAGTGCCAATGAATTTTATATCAGCCATGGAAATGGATAACTACTTAAATACCTCAATTTAATACATTAAAGACATTCACTTCATATTTTGGATTTTATTGTAAATATTAGTCACAACTATACTGGTAACTTATGAACAAAATTAAAGTTCTTATTGAATGAAAACTACAAATGACAGTTTTCAAATACTTGGTTCAAATCTCTCTTGAGTTTTAAAGTTAAATCTGATAATATTTGGTAAATTGATTACTGTATTATTAAGACTATTTGGCATTGTCATCCACCTATCGAGTCCTTCCCAAGAACATGGTATAGGCATATGTTTGATGGTGTTTAATTATTTATCTGTTCACAATAACGTGAAATTATAACTGCCAGTTCTTTAGCTGGTGTTGGCCTTCATACATATTGAGTTCTTCCCAAGAACCTAGGATGTTGTAATGTATCAGAATAGTATATGTGAAGATTCAAGTAGTATGGCAATTTGTAATTGACAGGTAGAAATTTTGTAAATGTATAACAGAATAACAGAGTTGAAAGCGACCTTGGTGGTCTTCTAGTTCAATTCCCTGCTCAAGCAGAAATCCCTATATTATTTCAGACAAATGATTGTCCAAGCTCTTCTTAAAAACCTCCAGTATTTGAGCACCCACAACTTCTGAGGCAAGTCGTTCCAATGATTAATTGTTCTGTCAGGAAATCTCTCTTTAGTTCTATGTTGGCTGTCTCCTTAATCACTTTCCATCTGTTTCTTCCTGACCTGCCTTCCGGTGCTTTGGAGAATAGGTTGATCTCCTCTTCTTTGGGACAGCCCCTTAAATATTGGAATACTGCTATCATGTGACCTCTAGTCCTTCATTAAATTAGACATACCCAGTTCTTGCAACTGTTCTTCATATGTTTTTCATATGCTTTAGTATGTTCCTAGCCATAATCCTAAGTGGGTTTATCATCCAATGGGATTTTCCGATGTATTTAATATGGAAAGGTAGAAAGTCTGGGCTGAAAATCTCAGCCCCTTCCTAAGCATACTGATGCGCTGTGAATTCATTGGTGACATCCATTTTGCTCTCCAACTTCATGGGAACCTAACTCTAACCTTTAGTGAGTTTATCATCCAATCAGATTTCCCCATGTATTTAATATGGACAGTTAGAAAAGCTTGGCTGAAAATCTCAGCCCGCTCCTAAGCATACCAATGCGCTAGTTAAATATAAAAATCCCATTGAGCAATAAATCCACTTAGGGTTAGTATTAGCACCCCATGAAGTCAGAGAGCAAAATGGATGTAGTCAAGAAATTCAAACTGCATTGGTATGCTTAGGGGGGAACTGAGCTTTTCAGCCCACCTGTCTACCTGTCCAAGGTTATATATACAAGAAAATCCCTTTGGTGGGAGAACCCACTTAGAGTTAGGGTTAAGTCCCAATGAACTTGGAGAATAAAATGGATGTTGCCAATGAAATCGAGGCACATTAGTATGCTTAGGAGGGGTCTGAGATTTTCAGCCCAGCCTTTTTGTGTGTACAAGTTAAATACATGGGAAAATCCCATTGGAGGGAAAACCCACTTTGGGTTAGGTCCCCATGAACTTGGAGAGCAAAATGAATTCATAGTGCATCAGATGCTTAGGAGGAGGCTCAATTTTTCAGCCCACCTTTGTTTGCCTGTCCAAATTAAATACATCAGAATATAACATTGCACTATAAACATACTTAGGGTTAGGTCCCTATGAAGTCAGAGAGCAAGCTGAGCTGAAAATCTCAGCCCTATCCTAAGCATACTGATGTGCTACGAATTCATTGGTGATGTATGAATTGCTCTCCAACTTCATGGGACCTAACCCTAATAAATGGGTTTAGTCTCAATTGGATTTTCTCATGAATTTAACTTGGACAGGCAGAAAAGCTGGGCTGAAAATTTCAACCCCCTACTAAGCATACCAATTCGCTGAGAATTCATTGGCAACATAAGTGTGTTTAATCTTCCAATGGGATTTTCATGCCTACGATGGGAATAGAACTCATTATATCCTGGGTTCTAGCCTGATGCCTTAACCATAGCTGAACCAAAGTGGTGCTCTGTCTAATAATGTAGAAATAGGTAGTGTAAATATAATAATTAATTGCACACTTTACTGCAGTTCTTTTCATGCTGTGTAAAATACTGGCTATGTTGTTAATTTTAAAATATTTTTAAAAATATAAATTAAAATATGAATCAAATTATTTGGAATATTCTAATATTTTCAGAACTTGTAATAGATTAATTTTTAAATGAAAGAATGTTACTTATGCTCTGAACACCTTTTGTGCCCGATGTAATCTTTAAAGCCAAAGGACTGGAGGGAGAGATTGAAAATAAGCATGTTATATTTTAGTTATACTTTCATAAACTACTTACAGTATTAAAAGTTATTAATTTTGGCCAATAAAAATCACGTAAGTGCAGAGTGGTACAACCTGTATTCCTTATTCTTTGGTAATCGTCAACTGATCTTTACTGCAGTTCTCTTATTGTTTTATTAATGCAAATAGCTGAATCAGAACATTGCATATTAACTTGAATACAGTTCTTAGTCCCAGATATGAGCTTGGTATAAGAATCTAAAATATTCTGGTTCTTTTTTTTAGGTACAGTACAAGTGAAGGCAAAGTGAGATCAGAACAGATTTTCTGAGTTTTTGCTGAAATGAATATTAATATAGATGGTTTTGAAGTAGTTCTTCACCCCATCCCCTGCAAAATCAGTTGTGGGTACTTACTATTTTTAAGATGGCCTTATTCCTAATGTTTTATTTTTCTTATTTTACAGTTGCCCGTATTTATCTGAGAAGATCACACCTGCAATTCCTGCTGTTGGAGCAGTTCTGTTCTTTTTTGTTATGGGGACCTTGCTACGTACTAGTTTCAGTGATCCTGGAGTCTTGCCTCGTGCAACACCAGAAGAAGCAGCAGATCTAGAAAGGCAAATAGGTAACACAGAAGGTCTGTTGCAGTCTCTCTGTTTCTCATTTTATTTTTCTCTCTTAAATGCCAGTTAAGCCCACATTTTAGTAGATTTTCTAATCATTCTGATCAATTTAACCTACTGTTTTTACTTTCAGATATTCATGACTATGTTACTATAAATATGTCTAAATTTTCTGCTACAGATAGTCCTTGACTTATGATCACAATTGAACCTTAAATTTCTGTTGCTAAGTGAGATACTTGTTAAGTGAATTTTGCCCCATTTTACTACCTTTCATATCTTCGCTGTTAAGTAAATCACTGCGGTGTTAAGTTAGTGACCCAGTTAAGTGAATCTGGCTTCCTCGTTGATTTTTCTGGGCAGAAGGTTGCAAAAGTGATCACATGACCATAGGACATTGCAACTGTCATAAATATGAGTCAGTTGCTAAGCATCTGAATTTTGATCTTGTGACTGGGGATGCTACTGAAGTCGTAAATGTGAAAAATGATCATAAGTGGCTTTTTTTAGTGCAGTTGTAACTTTGAATGGATATTAAATGAACTGTTGTAAGTCAAGGAGCTTCCTGTACTTTATGCAGAATGTTCATCTAACTGAATGATCAAGTAAGTTAATTTTAAAATTTGTGAATTTTTATAGCGCTAAAACCTTTTATACTATTGCTTTATTATATAGTAGACACTTCACAGATAATACGTTTGATTTAAATGACAAGATAAATTGGTAAAAAAATGAATTCAGTGGTTCTTTTACAGCAATTAAAAAGCTTAATTTATAGCTCAGTTTAAAAAATGTAGTAAAGACAATTCTGAAAAAGAAGCTTTATATATGAATGAATATATATATTCAGTCCTGCCTTGCCAGAAAGCTAATTGAATGACCTTGGGGGAATGTGTGGATGACCTTGGGGGACACAGGGAAAAGATGCTGCCTAAGAAACAATCAGACAAGTAGGGAGGAGCCCCCAGTGGATTAACAGTCAGAGAAAGAAACTTAGAAAGGATTCACCTTAATTGTTCAGATGGTTTGGAGCTATATACTAAGGTCAATATCAAAAGTGATGTAGGATAATAGAAAAGCATTCATGAGAAAAATTACAATACTTATCAAATGGTCCAACAATGAACAGGGAGTAAAATAAGGTTGTATGATGTTTCTTGCTGTTTATGTACTTATGGATGAATGTGTAAAGTATGAATTTGCAATATTAGAAGTGTGTTGGTTGGGCATGTATATGCTTTCATATATAGATGATGCCATATTGTTGAATGACAACATAAATGATTTGTAGCAAGTGTTAGATCATACAATGCAACAAGTAGTAAGAATCTGAAAATTAAAGATCAAGGTAATGAAAGTTAAACAAATTAATTTGAAATTAATATTGCATTTTATTGGAAAGTTTACAAAATGGGGAAATGGATGGAGAAATTTTAAGATGTATAAATGTTAGGAGAAACATAGTGGATAACATGCAATCTATTTAAAGAATGAATATTGGTTGAAAGAACTAAAGATGGCTGTATGTAAGAAAGTCCTTCTATCAACTTTACTGTATAGAAATAAAAATTGAGTAGGTAAGCAGAAACAGAGAGTGCAAGTGTATGTAGAAGAACAACAATAGATAGATCAAATTGAATGAAATATGATGGAAGAGTAAAGGGGTTGAAATAAGGGGAAGTCTGAGCAAGGTATAGTTAATAAGAAGCAAAAGATTCTCTAAAAAATTGAAGTTTTTTTTAAGGAACAAAATGGTAATATATTAATTTTTTTTGATCTACTGAAAGCAAAGATAAAACCAAAAAGGCATGAAAAGTATGGTGACTGAGGTTGTAAACCAGTGGTTCCCAAAGTGGGCAGTACCGCCCCCTGAGGGGCAGTGGGATGTCTTAGGAGGGCGCTAAGAAGCAAGGGGGGGCAGAGGAGTGCTGGAGGTGGGTCCCTCGCAGGGTGCAATTCAGATTCCCCCCCATCCCACTTACCTGGCTTGTTGGTGGCCGAGAGGAAGGCAAGCCAGGTCGTTGCCGCTTGGGTCCCATCTGGATTCTCCACAGCTGCTGGGCCATGGCTGCTAGGGGCAGGATTGGGGGGGAGACCAGGGAGCATGATGCTATACCTCCCGCATCATCCCTTGCCTGCCCCTTTCCTCTGCCGCCTGCCAGCCTGCTGTGAGAATGCTGCGAGTCAAGCCTTGCGAGAACAGATCTTCCACCCATGGAGCTTGCAAAGTGGTGGCTTGCACTTAGCTAAAATGCTCGGAGGGGCAGCTGGCAAAGGGGCGATGCAGGCAGCGTAAGCCTCATGCTTCCTGGTTGCCTCCCACACTCCCCCTCAGCAGCCGTGACCGAGCCCCAACAGCTGACAACATGCTGGCTGGCGGGGAGCCAAGGAGTGGCAGGTCTGCCCCGACTGGCTCACCTTTCCCAACTTTACCTTCCTCCTGCGGCTGGTGGCAGACAGAAAGGTGAGCCAGTGAGGGTGGGCTGGTTCACCTTTCCTGTAGTTCACTTCTCCCACAGCTCCTGCGGTGGGTGAGGCTGCAGCCTCGCTTGAGGTTCATAGCCCTTTCCCAAAAAGAGGGAGGGGTGGAAGTTTGCCTACTGGCTTTTCCAGGCAACGTGGGACCGAGTGTGAACAGACAATCGCGCCCCGTCCCTGGGACTGGGAGACTCGTCACGAGCGATGCTGCCGGGTGACTACCTTGTTAGAGAGAGAGAGAGAGAGAGAGAGAGTGTTTCAGGTAGGTTTCCTAGCTTACGAGGAGAGAGTGAAGGGGGAAGGGAAGGGATAGAGAGGGGGGGAAGAGAGAGAGAAAGAGAGAGGGAGAGAGAGAAAGAGAGAGAGAAGGAAGAGAAAAGAAAGAAAAGAAAGAGAAAAGGGAAAAAAAGGAGAGAAAGGAAGAAAAGGGATAGATAAAGAAGGGGGAAGGAAGGGATAGAAAGAAAGAAAGAAAGAAGAAAGAAAGAGAAAGAAAGAAAGAAAGAAAGAAAGAAAGAAAGAAAGAAAGAAAGAAAGAAAGAAAGAAAGAAAGAAAGAAAGAAAGAAAGAAAGAAAGAAAGGGAGGAGAAAGTGAATGAGATATCTAGTCCAACCACCTGCTCCAGCAGGGTTAGAAAGGAGTGTATGTGTGTGTGTGCATGGCCGTCAAAACTCCAAAACAGGTCAAGTAGTTCTGGGGAGGTCAGTCATAAATTAGAACACTTGCTAAACAACTGGCCATTAAGCGAGGACCACTTGTATTTGGTTTGCCAGTCTCATGGCTACCTGGCCACGCTCACCGGTCACATGACCATCAAACCATGCTCACAAATTAGGCCACACCCACAGAACTGGTTGTTAAGAAATTTGAATTCCACCCCTGGGTGGGGGGCACTGAGGAGGAGTTTGTAGCACCAAGGGGGCGATGGACTGAAAAAGGTTGGGAACCTCTGGTGTAAACTTAGTTTAATTAGATTTTTTTTCCCTTTTACTTCCTGCCTTTAACCTCTTTTCTAGTACATTTTAATCGTGCTTTACATTTGGCATAACACTGTTTACCCTGAAATAAAATAGCAAGATGGGTATGTATCATCCTGCTACTTATTAGATCACAGTGGAGTATATACTTAGCAAAATCCTTTTAAGCTTCACTGCCATTTCATTCTTTATACAATTTCATGCCCTAAATAGTGTCTCATGCAATTATCTGAAATCTGGGAAGAATAACAGTTTGGTCAGCAAGGCAATGATACTAGCTAAAACTCTCAAACAGCTATTTATGTGGAAAGTAAGCGAGCATTGAGAAAATAACGCACTGCTAGGTACAGGTTTATATCCGAGTCATAGTTCCAACAACTGTGGAAAAAGTTTGTTTATTTTATCATACGCTTATTTGTTATATTGGAGAACTTTGCTGGATTTGTTTTCCTAGTTTAAGATGTAAAGAAATAGTTATAGATAAAGTCAACTAAATGATGTTAAAAGCTATAATATTCCTGAGCTATGATTCTGAGTTTCCTTTCCATGAAGTGCATGACATCTGGAGGTTTTAGCTGCTGAAAGAGGGAAAGGGAATTTTATTTAATTTTTAAGTATCTCAGTCTCCTCTCATTCTATTTCAGAAGTTCCCTTATTACATTTTTATTCCTTCATGGTATATTCATTGCAGATTGCAGATTGCAGTGAATAGGGTTGTAAAGATTGAAAAAATGTTTTGCAATAATGCAATAAAAATAATTTTATATACAGCAAAGGAATATACCATTTCATTTCTACAAGCATATGAAAATAAATAGCAAAGATTCAGAATTAATTAAAAATTATATAAAATCCAAGAGTTTGAAGATGTCAACAATCTCCATCTTATACTCTTGTTTATTTCTTAAACTGCTGGTCTCTAAACAGCTTTCTGGAGAGCACAAGTAGATAAGAGAGTTGATGAGCCTTGGTGGTACAGTGGTTAAAATACAGTATTACAGGCTAACTCTACCACTACCAAGAGTTCGATCCTGATAGATTCAAGGTTGACTCAGCCTTCCATTCTGTAAACTGCTTAGAGAGTAACGTGAAGCATTATGAAGCAGTATATTAATCTAAGTCCTGTTGCTATTGCTATAAAAATCACCTTTTCCTGTTTTTTCTCCTCTGAAGTATATGGGAAGTGGATACTTTAATTCAGCAAATATATACATTTGATTTAAAGCAAACTACTTCAGATAATCAAATATATACATTTGATTTAAAGCAAAATACTTCAATCAAAATGATTGAATAGCTTTCATTTCTTTTTATGTTTCCTGAATGACAAACATTTCATTCTACATTTGAACTAGTATCTACCATTTTTTACAGAAGCAGAATAAGCAAACATCACTCCATAATTTTTGGGAATATCAAAATAACATTACATTTCTGCTTTAATTTGCTTCTTCAGTCTTGATCAGGGGTGTCAAACTTTATTTCATCAGGGTTGTGTTTGACATCAGGGGGGCTGAGGGGGCATGGCTTGTGGTGGCTGTGGTAAGATCGACATCCT